GAGCTTTATGCATGAGATTTTGACGTGGGAGAAAATTTCTAATTACTAAGTGAGATTTTTGATGCGGCAGAAAATGTCCGATCAATATGCTACAATCTCATTCACCAAAGTAATGAGTTAGTTTAAAAAAGATCAAAATTTATTAAAAATAAGTCTTTTCAATATTAGAGGAAATATTCAATCAATAGATTATCATCTCATCCACAAAATTTAGATTAGTTAATTTATAAAAGATAGAAAATATTTAAAAATTGTACAATAAGGAGCTTGAGGATTAAGGATCTACTCCTATAATCTCAAAATATTGACTGATATAGTAATTAACCGGAACTTTAAAAGATGTGCCCTGTTTAATCAACTGACTGTACCAAATTTAAACCAGTGGAGTCTATTAAGAGCACTAAGACTAAACAAATCATTCATTAATTCTCACTAATGGTACTTCAATTACATGCTCCCCGATACCACCACCATGTTGCGCAGAATATCCGAGAAATGAGCGCAAATAGCAAGATGGCACAGAGTACAGCAGACTAGCAGCAGAGCGGGCGACCCTATCCAGCTTATCTATGTCCACTCACTGCTAAAATAGTTGCGGAAACCGGGCAAATGAAGACCCTACAGGGCGTGCGCTCGCCATTGGTCCAAGTCGCCAGTCCAAGTCTTGGGTGCGTCAGAGGAAAGCAAAGTCCGTAGCTTTCTTCACCGCTGTTCAGTCAAGCCCTTCCTTTTACGTCACTCGTCCCACTCCGCCACGAAGCTCTGCCATGGAAGTCGGAGGACCGAGCTATTCAGGTTTAATCTCTCGGTCTTCACATCCGACACCCCAAAAATTTCAGATTTTTGTGACAGCATGCTGTTTTGGTTCGAAACGACGCGTGTTTGACAAGTGGAGTCTTATTCACCTGTATTCTCGGGGTGTTTCTTTAATGAAGTGTTTGTTTTAAGGAGGGGGGTATAAGCATGGAGTGAAGGGGGAGAAAGGAGAGTTTGAGAGGGTGGAAATGGAGACTAGGTATGTTCTGGTCTCTTTCTTCTTCTTCTTCTTTGTTGTTATCGTATATGGTGCTGATGACCAGAAGAACACCATGTTCGAGCTCGCCAAGGGAATACCATTCTCCAAGTGGAACACAAGCAACAGCGATCCGTGCAAATGGAAAGGAGTAACCTGTTCTTCTTCTTTTAACAGCACCCTCGTTGCCCAACTTCTTTTACCTCGTCTCCACCTTTCCACCTCCGCTTCTCCTCAGTTCTTCGATCTCCTCTGCGAGCTTACCTCCTTGCAGTACCTCGACCTTTCCTCCAACTACATCAGCTTCATCCCGGTCTCCTTCTTTTCCTGCAAAGGGCTTTCCGGACTGAAATATCTCAACCTAAGCTCTAATGGACTAGCCGGCCCGTTAAGTAATTTTTCAGAGTTTTCATCTTTGGAAACTCTAGATTTGTCCTTCAATTCCTTGGAGGGAGACGTCGGTTTCAAGTTGAACGGACTTCCGCAGCTGAAAAGCTTAAACCTGAGTTCCAATCTCTTCAATGGCACCGTTCCAGCTCTGAAAGGAATGAACTTGGTGGATTTGAGTCTGTCCAACAACCACTTTCATGGCGGAATCCCTTACGCTCTTTTCACCTTTGAGAACCTTACTTTCTTGGACCTCAGCCAAAATGCCCTCACTGGATCAGTTCCAGCTGATATTGGAAACCTCTTAAAGCTGGAAACGCTCCAGCTTTCTTCCAATCAACTGGAGGGTTCAGTCCCAGTTATTTTGTCCAAGATGAATATGCTTTCTAAATTTGCTGCTAATCAGAACAGATTCAATGGCTCAAT